CCAGCCATCGTATGCCGGCTGTGAAAGCCTTCGACAATACGTAAAAGGAAATTATCTACGATTTGGATTTCAGTGCTCTTGCTCCACCAATTGAAAATGCAGGTGCTACTTTGACATTCAAGGTATTTCTTCAAATCCGCTGCCCCTTATTTATTAGTTGATGCAGGATTCAGCCATATCTCTAGTCCTCATTCATAAGGTAGTGAAGAATTTGTGGACTAAACCATCTACTGTGCCATTTTGTACCATGCAGAAAATCTCTATAGAATCTAGGATGATAGTTGCCAATTCTTGTTCCAACGACTGTCAGCCCTTGTGGTAGAGACTTTTCACTCTGGATCACATTGGCAAGAAAGAAGTCAGATAGTTTTAGATATAAGCAGGCATTCTTTTTGTATAACACCATTCTGTGAGAAGGTAGCTCCTTTTGTCAATTTACCACAGAATAAACACCAGATTGTACAGATTTTTCAGGCAACAGAATGATTTGCTAAAGAACTACTTAATGCTGCCTGGCATGCCACAGAGTTGGCCTCAAAGTAAATGGTCATTTCTTTTGCTGACAACCATATTTGATACTACTCTATGAGACTAACCATTAAGGTAAAATCCTGAATAAGAATTTGCCCTTTCATGGAAATCAGCTACCACAGGGATGATTGATCACACGTATATCTTTGGGCTAGGAAAGTGTTCCTTACATGAGGATGGGGTACCACCAGTATCTTAAGTTTGGAAGGTTCTGAATGGAGTTCTGTATAGGGAAGAATCTGTATGAATGAATTCATAAATTACACTCAAAACTTTTTTTTTTTTTTGGTGCTTTCAAATCAGTGTTGACTCCTGGCAACAAGTCCCTGCAGTTTTCTTGGCAAGATTTCAGAAGTGGTTTGCCATTGCCTTCTTCCTAGGGCTGAGAGAGAGGGACTAGCCCAAAGTCACCCAACTGGCTTTGTGTCTAAGGCGGAACTAGAACACATGGTTTCCCAGTTTCTAGCCTGGTGCCTTAACCACTACACCAAACTGGCTCTCGCTCAAAAACTACTATTACTCGAAGGAACCAGTTGTTCAAGTACCAGGAAAAGGATAGTGCTGGGGATGGGAAATAAAAGAGACTGAAAAGTAGGTTTACTTATAGAGAAAACAAGCTGAGCAGAATGAGGGAAAAAATGAAATGACCATGCCCTTCTGTATTCTATCAATCAGAATTGCAGTACTTAATGGTAAGAACTACTGAAGGAACTCTTAGGAATAATATTTGGAAGTAGAGATGCATTTTTCAGACCTTTTCTGAAAAAAGAAAACTTCAGTTGTTTCTGACAGCCTTATTTAGCTAGCATAATATAGCTTCTTACCTATACACTATTGCTAGCTAAGATAAAATCCTTCTGTCTCACTCCCCCCCCCCACCTCTGGTTGACCAGTGGCTTTTTTGAAGGCTGATTATTTATGTAACTTAAAGTATAGAATCACCCTGTGTTACCTAACGTCTAATGTAGAGATCTCGAGTGGTGCCATGTTGTCTGAATACTGTATACCTTGTAGTTAAATAATTCAAAACAGTTATTCCTGGTCCAGACAGCACATTTGAACATTATTTAGCTTTAAATATTATTTTAAAAGTGCCTCCTTTTCTGCAAAATTATTAGTGGAAAGATTATGCCTATTCTTATGACACATTTTATTTTCAGCATAAAAAGTATTATCTAGTAATAATGATGTAATCAAACACCTTTCATTTAATATGCAAAGCCTTTTTAGAAGATAGTTAATGCATTTATCTAATGGTATCTTTCTCTGTTGTCAACAGGACACAATGTTTGTACGTGGACTGAAGAGGAAATGTATTGATGGTGAGGATGATATCGAAGGAAGTTTTACTGGCTTTAAAGCTATTCCTTCGTATAACCTTCAGCGTCAGTCACTGCTAGACATGTCTTTGGTAAAACTTCAGCTCTGCCACATGCTTGTTGAACCTAATCTGTATCGTTCAGTGCTTATAGCCAACACAGTACGGCAGATCCAAGAAGAAATGACCCAAGATGGAAGTTGGCAGATGATAAGTCCTCAGAGTACAGGACCAGCCTCTCTGGACCGTCTTGTTTCAACAGACATTCTCTGTCGTTCCTCCAAAGAGCAAACTGAAGAAAAGCTTGCTCAAGAGTATAGTGGTTTCTCAAAAAATTTTGAGGACACACAGTCACAAGAGAATGTAGACATCTTAAGGCCTGCTGTACTACAAGCACCCAGAAACTTGCAGGGAAACATGTGGGAAATGGATAGCATTCCAGAAAATAGAGGAAACTTCCATAAGTCGTCATTAGATCAAATATTTGAAACCTTAGAAACTAAAACTGACGCTGTTGAAGATCTTTTTTCAGAAGTTGACAGTTCTTATTACAATCTTGATACTGTATTAACAGGAATGATGGGCAATACAAAAATGGGACACTGTGATGTTCTTGAAACTTTTCCTCAAGGAGGCACAAATTCTAATTCTAACTGTAAGTCTGATCTTAATGAGCTTGATCATTTTGTGGAGATTCTGGTTGAATCTTGAGACTAAGGGTAAAGGAAAATCCTTTGAAGAAGCTAGGTCTTAAACAGCAAAACGTCCAGATATTTTGCTGTCTTAAAGCTGGACATGATCTCCCCCCACCCTGATTCACATCATTTTGCAAAATTGAGTTAATTTATAAAATTAACCAGCAATTTGTAGCGTTCAGCCTTGTAAGGATATATTTTTAGTGGCCACAATTCAGAGATAGTCAAAAGTATACATTTAAGTTGCTGAGAGCCCAGTAAACTGGTGTCCCAAATTGCTTTGGAAATTCCCTAATGTTCAGTAGGAGACTGACATGTCAAAAGATCTCTGGGTTTAATTGTGTACTCCTCAGTACTCTGGCTGTGCATTTTTCTACTTTTGAGGCCTAAGTCTTACCAGGTAACCCTTCTAGCATTAAGGGACATAAAATAGTGTATCAGGATTCCCTCTTTCTTGCCTATCTCATATCTGCCTGCAGAGTGCAACTGTTAAAGACACTCCAGTCCCTAGAATACAACAGATGAAGTCAAAACCCATACTGTCTAGTGCAGGTATGGGCAACCCCTAGGCTTCCTGCAGCCTACCAGAATCCTGATACTGTACCACTGAAATTCAGCAGCAATTTGAGTGCATTATTTCCCAGAAGTATCTTATCTTTAACCACCCCCAAAGGAAAAGGTAGGGCTGATAATTTTAGTGCACCCCTTCTAGTGATGTCACTTTAGTCAAGGGACTAAATTGCTGCCTCTAGCCCAACAAGTTATTCATCCCTGGCCTAAGTTGAGAAAGTTTTAGCTACTCCTGGCATTAGTGTCTGCTGTTTTATTGGTTGGTTTTATGGAATTAATTTGGTATGAAGACCAAAGGCTTGGTTTTTCCCTCCTTAATGTCACATAAATACTTACTGATATGTTCTGTACGTTTATTAACCACATGAGCTCTTGAAGAACTGTAAAGCAGCAATTCCCATTATCTTAACTAGCCTTTTCTGTCCTTTTTTCCTTTTTAAATTTATAGCTTTTTTTAAAGTGTTTATCAGTGTTCAGAACCTTATAGCTATTTTCTGAAGATATATTTTTGCTATGAATCCTCTCTCAAAACTGCTTATTTAATATCTTGAAATATTTGCAGTTGTATTTTTTTAATCATTTTGAAAAAGGGACTTTTCTCCCTTACCACTGACCTCCCCTGCATAGTGCAGTAGAAGTGTGTGTAACTGAAACTACAAGCGGAGCTGTTATCAGCATTCAGCCTTGAAGTAGAGTGTTAGGGGTCAAGTTATTCTTGACACCTAAACATCAGAGGAAGAGCTTCCTTCAGGCTTCAGGAACTCTTGAATGCATTTAAACTTCAGTTCAAGCCATGTTTTTGTTACCTTCAAGCATAAATTATATGGGTTTTATTTATAAGTATTTATATGATTATGCCATCAAACGAATTATTGGCTGAAGTTTACCATTCTACTTTTATATTTAGGGGAAGACACCCCTTTCTTGCACTAATTACTAACCAACTGTTACAGAGGCCTTTTGAAAGTTCTCCAAACTTAAATTGCTCTATTTGCCAACCTGTAAATGTGCATTCATATGAGTCATTATTAACAGATGTTATCTCAGCAAATTAGTGTTTAAAATGCATTCACATGCATGTAATTATCTCCTAAAAATTCTGGTGCATACCATTTACAATAAATTGCCCAATTTTTTTCCTTGTTAACTGGAGATACAAGTAAAACAACTGCAAGGTGAGAAAGAAAAAGACTTAACAATTCTTTTGAGAAAGACAAACATTTGCTTCAATATAACTTAATACTATTTCCATCTCCTGACAGGCAATTTTAGCTATTTTGCATCTGTTCCCTGTGATCAAAATTGGATTGGTTGCTTGTTTAAAATAAATTCTTTAAAAATGATTTCTCTGGTGGTGAAACTGATGTTAGACACAGATCTCAAAATACTGGACGCATCTCCCAGTAGAAGATCATAGACAGAGTGTATCTTTATGTAAAGGAAATTAACCCAAACTCTTTAAACCAGTAAGGGTGTACATCATGCACATTCATAGCAACTGCTCTAAGCATAAAGATCCATGTCTTCTATGTGTATCATTAAATGTATTTGTCTTGGTTTAGGTTGGAACTTAAGACCATTTTGCATGATTATCCCTTCCTGAGATTTAATGGGGCAGCTTACAAGAAAGTAGCTTCATGACTGTGGCCTTAATAATTTAAGTGCTTTTGAAACAGCTAATTTGAAAATAGCACTGTATGTTTTTTAATCTTGGCAAGTACTGTCTAATTCTGTAATTCAGTTTTGTGCCAGACCACACAATTTGTAAGGAGATCTTTCTTAAACATTTGGAAGTGATTAATATCTTTTTATATTAAAGTTGAATATGAAATGACTGCTCTGATATCAGTATTTTTTTTCTATACTAATTTTTGTATCATAAGAACAGGACTGATGAAATTCCTTTCTGAGTAGTAGCTTAACAAAGTGTTTTAAAATGGAAAATATTTATTGTAAGTATTCATCCCTTCTTAGGGTAAAATGTTATATTTACCCAAACTAAGGATTTACAGTAAATCCAGCGGAACCCTTCAAGAACATAACACTACAGAATTTTATGCTTATTCTTGAAAATATCCTTAACATTTATCTTCCAGATAACAAACTCTAAGCCTGAAATGTTTTTTCCCCTCAATGGCTAGTTCTCGTGTTTGGGATCTTTGCTGTAATATGCACAGACCATGGATCTTTCCATATGAAAATCCAAAATAGTAAACAGAAAAATTGTAACTGAGTATTTTCTATTATGCAAAAATATTATTTTAAAGTAGAACTGGACAGTCTGAAGCTGTAGGCCACATGCTATTTGCTAGTACTTCATTACATCCTCTAGAAGCTTGATATACTTCAGTCCCAAAGAGGCCACAGAATCACATTCCTAATGGTAATATTAGTGAAGGACATAAAATGGCTACAGAACCAGTTACCACAGTCCAAACATGTACTATGTAGAAAGGAACTTCAGGTAGTCCTTAACGATCGTAATTGGGACCAGGAACTCCAAAGCTAAGCCACATGGATGCAAAGCAAAAAATCACATGACCATGCCAACTTACAACACTAGTTCCGATTGCGGTTGTTAAGCGAATCATGTATGGTTGTTAAATGTGATGTCACGTGACTGCAACTTGCAACTTGTTGCCAGCTTCCCCAATGACTTTCCTTGTCAGAAGCCGGCAGTGAAGGTCGCAAATGGTGATCACAGGATCATCGTAATTGCGTGCCAGTTGCCAAGTGCCCAAATCACGATCATGTGGCTAATTAATATAAACAAAACATCATTGTTGAAATTTTTTTTTTTTAATTTGGACAGCATATGTTCTAACTGGCTTTGGAAAAGGCTGAGGACAAGAGGCATTATTGCTAATGCACACTGGAAAATTGTGAAAGCCAAAGAATACGAAAAAGAAGTATCTACTTCATTAACTATAGAAGGGTTTTTATACTGACCATCTCTTTGCCGTCAATCTAAAATCTATACGCCTGCTTGGAAGCTACAGTTTAAACAGGGTGAAGCAGACTGGCTCTGGGTTGGCAAAGGAATAAGGTAAGGATGTGCATTCTCTCCTTATTTATTCAACCTATATGCTGAATGTTTATAGAGGGTAACTGGATCAGAAGATGGTGAGCATGGTTTTAAAACTGGAGAAATGTGGAAAATTTAGAAAAACAGCATAACACTGAGGAGACATAGCCAACCATTTATTCAATGAACAATCATTAGGTCCCCACTTTATAAGAAAGAGGAGCCCCAAACAATGGGAGAGCCAAGAATTTATAGAAGTTGAGGGCTATAAGGCAGGATATCCTAGGAATCTGATTGGTTGGCAACTTTGGGGGAAGCAAAGCAAGTGCCCATGTACCTGGGGTTATTTCCATTGTTAGGCAAAACAGCCCTTTCAGGAGCAGCAGCAATGCTGGGGAAGTCCCTTGTTAAGGAGATGAAATGTGTTTTCTCACCCTGTAACTATGTTGCAGTTCCCTCCTTAGGGCTGCCCTCAAGCTGCACTATGAGCAGGTGAGTGAGGCTTCTATTATTTGCTTCAGATGGGATTGCAGGGTCTTCCTGAGGGCCGGGAGAGTCAGTTTGGATCTGACAGGATTAGGCAAAGAGAGGAGGTGGATTTGACCCTGCTCATATCCAAAAGATAGACAGGAAGGGGATGCAACCTCTATTTTATTTGTTACATCTATTTTCTCCAGTACAAAAGAAACATCAATAACCTGCACTGTGCTGATGAGGCTACTCTGATAGCTGAAATTGCAAATGATCTGCAAGTTCTACTAATGAAAGTCAAGGAACATGATGAGCAAACAGGATTACAATTAAATAAAAAAGCAACCAAATTAATAACAGGTACAGCAATCAGCCTTAGAACTGATGAAGAAGACACTGAAATAGTAGATAGCTTCTGCCTTTTAGGATCACCTATCAGCAGTAATGGAACTAGCAGTCAATAAATTCTATATTTCTCTATCTTATACTTTCTTGGTGAGGCTTTTTGCATCTATCATTGGAAGCAATGGAGGTTGCAGGCTTTGCTCTCTGTTACCCATCTTTCCATCACTCTGAAGTTTTCCAAGCTGCTGAGAAAAAAAGTTCCTTTGCGGTGTCTTTCTTTGGGAAGTACAGTGGAACCTCGGGTTACGAATGCTTCTGTTAACTACCTTTTCGGGTTACGACCAGCTCCGGCCGCAAAATTTTGCTTCGGTTTGCGAACTCCGCC